TTTCATGTGCTTTTTTCGGTAGCTGCCAACAAGGGTCACTAGATTTGATCGTTCTCCCATTACTGAGAGCACAATCGCATATATTCAATTTAATGAGCTCTATGCACTTCTAAAGTGAATCATGAACAAGAAGTTAGATTCTCTCTCGGAACCATTATTTGACGTATTTCCTGCCACTTATTTGAAAACTTTTTCAAATTCCTCTATTGAGGAAAATTGCTGTTTTTGGTCTTCTGTGCTGCCCAGAGTGACAGTAGTTTCATTTCCTGAAACTGACGTAATTCTTCACTACGCACTCTGTAGTCACGCAGAAGTGACCAGATGTTAAAGATGATTCAACATCCAATGGGAATCATCCTTGGGTAAGCTTTTGTGAACATGAAAGTTCACCAGGGAGACTCGGAAATCAAAATAGTCCCCTGGAGGTTTTCCTGGAACTCCTGATTCCACGGTGGAGCTATTTCGATGACAGCAGAAAGTTGTGCTCAGTGGCTGGAGTCTTCGGTGCGTCAGCCAGAGACCCTGATATGATAATGAGGGAGGGGTGCCCTAGCTGCTCCCGAAAGGAAGCTGTTGGAACGAGCTTACCTCTCATCGGATCCAATGATGGGTAGCCTGGGCTTGCTGACAGTTGCATTCCTGAAACTTGTCTATGAGTTTCAGATCACGCGATCAATGGCAGAAACTCTGAGCATTACCCAGTGGGAGAAGTCAACGGCCCAGGCGCCTACGCCACTCCTTCTGAAGAGCCGACAAGTCAACAACACCTTCCACCGGAAACGCAGTGGGATTCTTCCTGTGCCGCGCATCGTCAGGTCACATCATAGCTGCATGGGTTAGTTGTACAAGCAGAAAAAGAGAAGCCGATTGCTGGCTGTTTTACCTTAACCCGTCTGTCCATCCAAGTAATTGTGCAATAAGGAATTTTTGCAGTGACGCTCAATTACGGCATTTTCTGACCTCTACACCCTCAGTTCAACTTGCGCGTTTTGAAATTGATAGAGCCTGTGCACTGGAGAAGGGGCGATTTATCCAAATAGAGAAATCCAGGCGTAGAGGATCGAGATGTGTTTGGCTCGCCTAATGCACTGTTGGATGCATAATTCAGGCGAAGGTGAACTCTGGCTTGGTTCTCAGCAGCCTTCTCACTTTGAGATCAGTCAGGCATCATTTTTTTTTTAATTGAGCCTCTTGGAAGACTACATGCAAGAATCAAGTCTGATTGCTGGTAGGTGCAGTAGATTTCTCTCCGTGAAGTAGCCGATGGGATTCAATTAATTGAGCAGTGCTGAACTGTTGCCCTCACGCATCACACACCCTTCGCCTTTTTTCGAGAGTTCAAATTCTGCCGTCGCTCAGACACCTAGTCAATTTTTGTTGCATTTTGCCAGCAATGCTGTACCTTCTGCGATACTCGAGCAATCTCGCAAAACCATTTTTCAAGCAGGACTGCTTACCTCTCCATAATGATCACTGCTCTCACCTAGATTCCCCTTCCCTTGATTAGTCACCTTCTCGAGCTGGACCCGTCTACCGTTGCTTGTGAGTATGTTCCTGACCGTATCAACTTAATTGGATTAGGGAATGTTGATAATGGCCCATGAAGGTCTGTATCACTAATGGGTATTATCGCGAACGGACCGAGTAACTGACAGTGGCCAAATGTTGCCCTGAGTGCTTCATCATTTCGGAAAGTTATGGCATTCCGAATTGAAGTTAGACGCATGGCGCAGCCCAAAAACCACGGTATGCCGGCAATAGCCCAATACCGACTAGTTTGAATGCAAATTTGAAACAATGTGTCCTTATTGGTCTGGCTGTCTGAATAGTGTTGTAGTTGATTGGCTTGAACGGTGCAATCTAATGATGTGGCATTGTTTCGACGGGGCTGGCATGGCTGTATACGCGTGGCTCCTTGTGGCCAATTACGTCAAATCAAAACCAGCTGTCCGTCGCGCTCACCTCAAGAAATCGCTAATTCACCCACATCATACAAAAACACCTCATAAAATGATCGCACCATGAACGGACCGTTTAATGAGACATACTGCCCGGTTGAGGATTGAAAATCGCGACCAGATCTGACGCTTATCGGAAGTCGCAAACCATTTTAGCATGCCCTGACACCAGTACCCAAATAGCCATGGTGCAGTGACAGGTCGCAAATTCAAGGGCTAAAACGCTTTGAGTTTCGAATTTTTGAGATCTCGGATAAATGTGAACGCATCATCGTGGAGTCTTCTCATTAAAGGGACCGTGTTCGAACCGCTTGAGGGGGAGGGCCTTGAGAGGGTCTAAATTGGTGTGAACAGCTGTGGATATTTTTCATGGAGATTGAGGGCTTTCTGCTGCCTCTAGAGGTAACCCCTATTTTCATGGCCAACTGAAAGTTTCGGGAAATGGAGAGGTAGGTAGAATCCAAGCCCTATAGTGAAAGGGGTCGTAACTGGAGGCAAGTGAAGGAAAGCTTAGGGTGAAGGGAAGTACGGCTTGAAGACGAATTCCTTCAATGGTTCCTCGAGTGTCAGGCAGCTTATTATGAGTAGGCGAGCCGCAGTAGACAGAGGAAATCCTTCGCTCGAGCTCCGTTGCTTTACTAGCTTGAAGAAGATGTGTTAAAGATGAGGACCTTGCCGTTTGATCCACCTCAACTGTTTGGATGCGCCCGCCTTTTCTATTATCCATTTCCGATATCGATATGGCTTAATTGAATGCGTGCGATGTGGCCTACAGAAGTGCGGTCGCCGGGGGGCCAGTACGGGTAGTGTGTTTTTTCCCCTGGATGAATTCAGGTACAAATTCGCCGTACCAGAAATGGTAGAAGGCTCAATCTTCCTAAGGCGGAACGCCAATCCGAGCGTCGATCCTCGGACCGATGCCCGTGGTAAGCACCACTTGCTACTACACCACCTCCGCCTCATAATGTATTATAACAAACAAGAATTGTGATAATGGGTGATAATAGATAATACTCTGTGAGCGCATTGGAGGAGGCCAACTTTCTCATTCAAAAGGTCGACTGACGGACGATTTCTGAAGGAGCCTTTCAGTAAGGCTGTGAATGCTTCATAGCAGCGCGTGAATACATCGCAGCGCCTGAAAGACGGGAAGGCGCAATGAGACCATCTGCCGACCTATCATATCCGCAGATTTTCCAGAGCAAAAAGTGTGTTTTGGGTCTTTGCAACTGAAGAAGATCACTTTATGATGGCAATCATGTATGTGCATTTCATGACCTGAATCAATTATGCGTGGCGTACCACAAATAGTTACAAACGTCTGTAACAAAACCGATGCTTTATATCTTGCATGTGTCGCAGACATATAATGAAAACAGAACCTCATCACTTATCTTTAGAGATCGGGGGATCTGAGAAGTAAGTGTGATGCGAGACCTTCGCCTTACCATCTTCGAATAAGTTTTTCCCTCATTGCCACTCTGTTGGGAATCCCAATCGAGCCAAACAATCTTTTCTGACGTTTTTTCTTGTTTCTTTTGCCTTGTTCTTTTACGGTTCCGTCAAAAATATTCGTTAACATTCAGTCGAGTACCGTATCTCCGGCTCATAATGCTCTCACATGGCTGTCGACAACGGCCATTGGTCAATGGTGGCTGGCTCCGCCCTTCTTGGCCCCGCCTCTTAGCGCACGGCCGATTTTCGCAAACGGGAAGGAAACGGTTCCGGAATGGACGCCAAGCTCTGTCGCCAATACCCGATAGTCCTCCCCTAGGCCCTCGAGCTAAGCCATCGCATCCTTCTCTCATTTCCTACATAGCGTGAATGCTCGTCCTTCATGATCTCAGCTGCTCAGGCCACTACTCCTCATCTACTTCGATCTTTCCTACCTTTTTCCCATCGCTCTCTATTGTTCAATGAAAACTTGTTTATGTGATATGACGATATGCCGGCTTCAACTGTGTAGTACCTTGATGCGCCTATTATTTATTCCCAATCAGTTTGCCTGTACTTTCTGAGTCCAGGTGGACGCATACCTTAGTGGCTGTTAGAGGGCTCAGAATTATCCATCTCTCTATCAAAACTGGCTGTTTTCGCCAAATCCTCTGAGGAGATATCATGCTGGCAAGGTTTTGTGGAAAAAGGCTACTCCATTTGGAAAACCCAGTAGTACCTTGTATGGCTGGATTAGCCGTGCGTTGAATAAAGAGGCTGGGTAGTGCAAAAATCCTACTTTTTCCATAGGAAGGATGACCCACATCACTGAGGGATGCCGCATCTCTTCAGGTTTACAAGAACTCGCGTTTTCCCGGTGTTATAAGATCCACGAGAGGGTCTGCGAACTAGTCCAATGAATAAGAATAGCCAATGAAAGGCTGGGAGTAGGGCAGAGCATCATAACTTTTTTCCATTGCAATCCCCTATTCACTCCACCTGTCCCCCTGCCCTTCCCCCTTCTTCACAGGCCTTCTCCCTCGAGGAAGTGCCCTGAATAGAGGACCTATAGGTGCAGATGCTCATTTCACTACCAAATAACCAAATCAGAAGCATAAATCTCGATCGGGACAACTTTGCATTGGAAATGAGTTCCCTGCTAGCGAGCAGACTTTTCTCGTAGTCCAAGCTCGGAGGTTTCGGAGTCGTGAAAAGCGCATGGAAGAAGGTTACATTCTGAACAGAAAATTCATGTTTTCCATTGATATTGAATGATCGGAGGGGAGATGATGTAGGGGCAAGCGCGCTTACAATGACTTGTGGGGATAAAGTTCTGGATCGGCTCTCGCAAGGCCAAGCGGGTCTTCCTTAGGGAACGGTGAATTGCTACCAGATTCATCTGGGAGTATAAGAACATCGGATTGTCGCATGGTCCCCGCAATTCATTGTATAGGCCGCATCGTGTTCAATAAGTCACTACGATTCTGAATGGAATTAGAAGTGCCGCATCCCCTAAAGGGACTGATCATGGCGAAGAATTTATCCTTGGTCCTTTTTTATTGATAAATTGATTGCACAATCCTCACTAAAATATCGTTTCAGAATGGCATGCACAACGCTCAACTTGGAAGAAATCCTTTCTATGACACGAACAATGTAGCTCCTCAGAAGCAGTCAAATGGTAAGTATACCAGCTTGGGAGAGCACCTAAGAAGCAGAGCAACTATTTTCTGCGTCCCTGACCTTCAAACCAGCGACACTATTGCGGAACATGGCGCGGGAACATGCTACTTGAGAAGCTTTATGTGGGTTAATTGGGATATTTCATTGACATAAAGTCAGAAATGATTCCGTGGCGCTAATCAACGGGATTATTCTACTGAGTTCTGATGGAAATTCTCAGAAATCTTGAGAAGGAAGGACGGGAGCGCTCATATTGTTTCAGCCTGGCGGGCCCACAACCTCAGGGATTGTTGAAGGTCCGCTAGAAGAAAGGAAGTAGAACAGGCAAGTATGACGGCTAGTAGCCTTTTAGCCGAGCAAACAACCTCAACGATTGCTTAAAGTCCGCTAGAATAAAGGATGTGGAAAAGACGAATATGCCGGTGAGTACTGCTTGATGTGGAATGAAAGAACGTTTCCGGACGTCTTTCTCCACACGGCGGGCTGGTGGTGAGGCTCTATGGACTGCAGAAGCCTAGGAGCGCTGGCCGCTAACGACGTTACCGCATCGTGAATAGCGGCTCTTCCGAGCGCCATTCTTCACTTGGCGTCCTGCGCTAACGCGGTCGCACGCGCATACACACACCTGCTTGTAAGTTCTGAGCGAACGTCAACAATCCTCGTTATAGTTTGCCTTCTATTCTATTCAGAGCTATACTAAGCGCCAAGGATTCTCAGGATTCCTCAGGGCGCTATTTTCATCCTCTCCGTTCCACTTGAACATTGACGCGCTCTTTTTTACTCTTTTCTTGTCACAAGTAGCCTTCCTAATGCCCTTTTCTAGTGGCCTTTTTACAGACGTCTTCTCCGGAATGAATCTCTCTATGCAAGCTTTCAATGCCACCCCAACCCCGATCAAAGAGGAGCAGGTGGGCGCTTAGTTTTCCGTGTGTCTGGAGCATCTATTTCAACTTCTTTTCAGCTCAATCAATTCAACATGAGCTCATGTTTCAACTATTCCGGTCTCAAGTTGCCCGCGTGTCATCCTGGGACATTTTCACAGCCTGGTGAGTTCATTTTTCAATCCAAGTTCCTCAATCGGTTCCTCATTCGTCATCAGTGTTTTCGTATAGCGTCGTTTATAGTTAGAATTGAATATAGACACACGTGAGGGCGGTTACGGTAGACATGACAAACAAATTCAGAGCGAACGCAATCTCCATGCGCATCCTGTTTTGACTGGCTGTCCCTGTCAGCCAGCCAGCTAGCCTAAGAGCTACTGCTGCTGCTGCGGCTGGTCGGTTTGCCAATGAAAACACCCCTGCCACTAGATCTAGAGGGCCTTTTAAGTCTCTCACTTGGCCTCCTGATAGTCGCCTTACCCCATTTTCCTGGGATCTGAAAGCCGTTGATAAGCACGGACGGATGCAGGAGCTACCGTATCTCATTCCCTGCCCGTTTTCGCACTTTCTCTGCACTTAACCTTACTGTGAAGGGAGAAAAGTTCATCTTTTGGATTTTACCCTCAGTCTGCCCTTTTTTGGAGTGTTCCTCTCCGGTCTGCTCATAAGGGCTATTGGCAAGAAGCGAGCCTATTTTTGGACACAAAACGTCTGAAGGGTTATCGATCGAAAAGCCGTAAATCAGTTGGATGGAAGGTCTTGGAGGGTATTACCTGGGCAAAATCGCTGTGTCATAGCGGGACATGTTAGCTAAAGAGTAGAACAGAGTAAGTCAAATGACCCCATTCATTTTGTCCGTTTCTGAAGTGAGGAGCTACTGAACCACGCAAATTTTAGCGGCATTCTGCGCTACCTCTCAAAACCCCAATTCCACAGTAGTCGGGCAAGTTATTCGGGTCCAAATCTTACAAGCAGTGCTCATAGGTAAACCCTCTTAGGCTCATTCAGCTCCAAGAAGCCCAGCAATTGCATCAACTTCCCCATTCGCATATGCCTGTGCGCTAATCATACTTCCACATTCCACATATGCTTGTGCGCGTGTTATTTGCAATCAAGCACACCCCAAAGCGGCCGCAACGCCGTCGGCAGCTCGATTACCTGGGTACCGTAGGCGATATTGATAGTTTAATTGGTCTATTATGCGCTAAACGATGGCGCACTCTTAGTGCTGTCGCTCGCTGCCTGCTATATTCATCGCGAAAAGCGATGTGAGGAGTGCGCGATCCCAAGCAGTCCACGGGCACCAGCTGGTAACCCGGGATTACCGTATTACAAACCGAGCAGTTTAGCAAACAGTGTCGGGTTCTTTTGACCGGGTACGGATCGTCATAGCGCGGTGGAGATGGCATATCGCGCATGCTGGAGGCGTTATTCTGAGAGAGGATAATTGGGTTCAGGGTCAGTTGAGGGACAGAACGACACTACAGGAAGCCTGAGAGCTTATCCAAACATCACGATATATAAGACTAATAGATCGATGGAGAATCTGTCAGTCACTGGCAATAAGGCAACTTTTCGCCATGCGAGCTGTTAGTTTTTTTTTTTTGGTTCTTTTTATCCCTCAGAAAAGTGTGACCAGGCTACGCTCGACTGGGGAGAATCTCATCTAAGGCTCGTACGTTGGGAGTGGGCATCGTATCTTGGTCTAGCGGGGGACCGTATCCGGCCTACTTCACAAGGGCGCACTAGCACTCGCCAAACAGCAGTCATCGTACTAGAACAACTATAGAAATAGTTCTGACAGCCTAAATCAGTAGGTCATGGAGGACAACACCGTCGCCTTCCCCCCTCCCTAGCTCAACGGACCTCACGCTCGACGCAAATTTTCGGGAAAAGCGAACAGTATTGAAAAACTGGGGAAAAAAGGAAGTGAAGAAAACATAAAAAGATGCTAGGGGTAGAATGGGTTAGCGGGATTCTGCCCAAAGGAGGAACCTCCGGGGTGTGGGGGGGGGGGTTAAGAGCAGTCGTACTGGCACCACCATTGCTCACGATCTCCAGAAGTCTCAATTTCCAAAAGCTTCATTATGCGTATAGAACGTGCACTGCCCTTTTCCTGAAGGATACCCTATATAACTGACTGCATTCAGCAAGCTGAATGTACCACCAAGATGCCGGTACGATGCTGGGTCTTATTTGAGGTAGTCGTAGTCCGATGTCACAGCCGGTTGTCAGAGGCCCCAAATTCCGCGGTTTTCATTCATATACGAAGTCCAAGGGACACTATTCTTTGGTGGGTATCATCTAGCCTAAAAGGTCCGCTGACTTCTAGGGAAGTAGCTACTTAAGAGCTCACCTTCAGTAAATTGTGTACCAGAAATCTTTCGTCCTCCAGATGGAAATATTTTCTCGAAATCTCTCCCTTTTTCAGCTTGACTGTCCTTTGAGAAGAACCCACTAGACCCACGAAACCCGAGCAAGCCCAAATTTTCGTGACCCCCCTGACTAAGAGTTTCGCCTAGACCTTGATTGTCAAGCTTCTTAGTACCTCTCAATTGCTACAAGAATAGCGTTGACATTTCACGCGCCTTGTGCCAACCTCATCTAACTAACCATTGCGATGACATTCAATCAGTTCCGAAGAGGAGGCAATCGAATAAAAGTTCGTTTCGCGCGAGGAATTTCTGTGGCGTGCGCTCAAGGCAGCACATAACGAAGTGCTAGAACAAGTGCAATCATGCATTGACGGTAATGACCACAATTGTCGCTGACATGCAATGACGTTAAGCTGCGCGCATCAACGCTTAGACAAGCACGACAGAATAAGGTTAAACCTCTCACACACATCAAGAGGTTCTACTGAAGAGGGGCGGGAATTTGGGATATGAAGGAAATGGCGAAATGCATGTCTATTGGCAGAAGTCCATGATGAACCGATACTACCATTCGCGGATCTCTCATTGAACATTCGGAAGTTCGAGGGTACGTGTTAGACCTTTGTAAGGGATAGAGGATGAAGTCTTCGCCGTTGATCATAACCTTTGTGGGATGCGGCACGCATTCTACTTCCATTCAGAATCGTAGTGGCTTATTGAATGCGATGTGGCCTATACAATGACTTGCGGGGCCAGCCGATGTACAAGTCAGTGTTTTATCCTCCCAGACAAGTCTGGTACCAGGTTACCGTCTCCGAAAGGAAGAAGACATGGTTGACCTAGGCGGGGCCTATTCGGGAACTATCCTCGGACCTCGCGCATGGAAAATGTGCCATCCTCCAACACCACCTCCGCCTCTTTAGTCATTCATTAAAGGAGATTCTAGTTAGGTCGGACGTACCCGAAACCGAAAGGAACCCGGGTGTAACCGAAAGGATTTCTTATTCGCATTAGTTGTGTTAGGAAAGGATCTATGGGGGAGGGGTGGGATAGAAAGCCTAGAAGAGAGAGCTTATTTCGCGGAACGTTTGGAAGGTTGGCGAAGGTATGGAACTACTCGAACCTCGACAACAACGCCAGATAGCCAAAAAGCAAGCGCGAGAAAATCATATTATAATGCATCAGAGCCCAAAGCAGCGCTGGTGTACGTAGCGTCAGCCCGACCGCGTCACGAACTAGGACTCAGTTCCTGCCGTTAAGATGAATCTGTTACGCAAAGTAACTGG